CATGCCCATTCTCATCCCCATCCCCATCCTCATCCCCCTCCCCGTCCCCATCCTTGTCCCCGTCCCCATCCTCATCCGTATCCCCATCCCGATCCTCATCCCTATCCTCATCGCCAGCCCCAGCCTCATCCTCATCCTCGTCCCCATCCTCATCCCCATCCTCATCACCATTGCCATCGTCATCCCCATTCCCATCCCGATCCCACTCCTGCTCCTACCTACCTGCCCCACTCAGCTCCCTTCCCAGCCCCATGCCCAGACAGGTTCCCAGCTCCATTCCCAATCCTATTCCCAGCCTGGTCCCAGGCTCCGTTCCCAGCCCCATGCCTAGCCTGGTTCCGGGTTCTTTTCTGAGCCCCATGTCCAGATGGGTTTCCAGCTCCATTCCCAGTCCTATTCCCAGCTGGCTTCCCAGCTCCYGTCCCCTTTGGGTTCCCAGCTCCATTCCCAACCAGGTTCCCAGCTGCATGCTCAGCCCTATTCCCAGCTCCAGTCCCCATTGGGCTCCCAGCCCAGCTCTGTTCCCAGTCCTATTCCCATCCGGGTTCCAAGTTCCAGTCCCTATTGGGTTCCCAGCTCCATTCCCAGCCCTATTCCCAGCTGGGTTCCCAGCTCCCATCCCCTTTGGGTTCCCATTTCCATTCCCAACCCTAGTCCCAGTTGGTTCCTAACTCCCAAATTTGCTTCCACCCTCTACCCCCACCTTCCCTTCCAAGGTTGATTCCCAGCTCTAGTCCCTACTCCAAGGCCCTGTGGGTTTCCCAGTGGGATTCCCATTGCTTYCCAGCTCCCTGTCCAGGTCCCCTTTGCTTCCCCATCCTAATCCCCCTTTAAATCCCAGCTTTATTCCCAGCTGGGGCCCAGCTCTACCCCAGGGTTGGGTCCAAGCTCTGTAGGGACACAGGGGGAAAGAGGCGCGGGACATTCCCGAGCTGCCCTCAGTAGGTTCCAGAGTGAACAGCGGCCGCTCTCCCGCAGCGCGGCGCCGCGTGGGTCCCTACGTGGC